ACTGGATATCCCACAAGCTGTGAGGTGTGGCCAAAACAAAGAAACACAAAAAACAAAAGAATGCCAAAACTCAGGTGTGTGTGACTCCCAGCCTGGGGTCTTTCCAGAAGACACAGTGCCTCACACTGTCTCCCAGTAGGATGTCAAGGGTCGTGGGGACCACAGACCCAGCTGTTCTAGGGATGAGTCTGGAGGTGTGTTAGAGAAGGGATTGTCAGATAGAGAGGGTGGGGAAGGGATGGAGGACTGAAGGAAAACCTGAGAGACTGGGGGAGGGAAGCCTGGAGGCCAGTGTCCTCATCCAGGTGAAAGGTCATGCAAATAGGAGCTAAATTAACAATCTCCTGGAGGCTGTTGGGAGGGCCCAGGCCTGTAGGGGAGGGTGGTAATGCTGCGGCCCCCCGCCCCCCAACTGACTTCAATGACATTATAACCCAAACACAGAATATGCCTAATACATAAAATGGCTTTCCCAACTTGCATCTGTATTGAAGAACACATTCAAATTCTAGAAGGAAAAATTATTTAACACAACGCAGATTTCCATAAACTACCATTTCCAACCTAATATCTTCTCAAGAAGTGCTTGACCTTTCTTGCCCCTGGGCAAGCATGCAAGCCCTCAGAACTGAAGCTCTCACAGACCCTGGTGTGGTTGTACATTTGTCCTCTAGAAGATTGTGAAGAAAGGCAGTCTGGGAAGTCGTGGTCAAAGGAGCCCCCGAAGGGAGAGGAAGAGACTCCATCACCTTTGTAACAGGTGCCATTTCCATTGCCCACCACCCGAGGCTTCCGTGAGAAATCCTTGAAGCCATCTTTTTTTTTTCAGTCCAGGAAGATTGGGTGTGTGAAAGTGTGTGTCAAGAAGAGTTTTTCTTTCCCTTTGAGACAGGTAATTGAATCCATTTCCCTTCTTACTTTGGTCACTCAAAAATAGGAGCCAAATCTCTGGTTTACCTCCAGTAACTTTTTAGTACATATGACCTGCATTTTCATGCATCATTTTCCTTTTTTGTCTTTTTGCAGCATCAGAAGTGTTTTTGTTTTCACTGGTTATGACAGCAGTACATTATCACTGTTCAAAACTGGAAAGTATAGAAGAGTTTAGATTAAGGGGGAAAAAATCTCCAGTGAGCCTATTACTTGCTTACACATGCTCAGTCATTTCCAACTCTGCAACCCCATGGACTGTAGCCTGCCAGGCTCCTCTGTCCATGGAATTGTCCAGGCAAGAATACTAGAGTGGGTTGATATGCTCTCCTCCAGGGGGTTTTCCCGACCCAGGGATTGAACCCGAGTCTTCTGTGGCTCCTGCCTTGCAGACAGGTTCGTTCTGCTGTGCTGCCTGGGAAGCCCATTGCTTGCATGTATCAGCCTAAATACTCTGGTGTCTTTTTTCCTTTTGGTTCCTTTTTCTAGGGAAGTGGGGTATGCTGGGTCTTTGTTGTGGTGAGTGGGCTTGTGTAATTGTGGCACTTCATTGCTCCACAGTATGTGGACTTAGTTCTCTGATCAAGGATTGAACCATTGTTCCCTGCATTGGAAGGTGGATCCTTAACCACTGGGCAACCAGTGAAGTCCTCTGTTCTATTTTCGTATGAAAGCTGCATAGAACGTGTGTTCACAGAATATACACTAATATGCAGATTGAACATACATATATAAGTGTATATAAATATTACATATGTAAATGTTTAAGGGAAACTGGACTTGAAGCAGCAGAGGGACATTTTCTTTCTTTCCTTCATCCTTTCTTTCTCCCTTTCTTTCATCATTTTTTTTTTCTTTTCTTCCCCCTTAGACATTTGCTTAAAGTGGACTCAGCAAGAGAATGACATCAGACAGGGGTGGGAGCAGTAGGGAAGTGGAGATTAATTGAGCTCAACTGCGGGTCCTGGCAAACAGTAAGGCCGCAGTGAGAAATGCAAGGCAGGAAGTGAGTCAGGAGCTCTGCGAGACAGGGCAGAGATGAGGCAGCGGCGTGGAAGAGCCGTGGCTTATCCTCCGGGTGGGAATAGGGTGAGGTGAGCTAAATGAATTTAGTTTTCAAATCAAATCATGAGTGGTGGATTACGTTCTTTTGAGCAATGCCCTTGCTCTTGGCATTCAGACCAGGAGTCACCCTGGTCTGAGTTTGAGAGTAGAACTGCCCTGGGGTCGATGGGTATGCAGGGGAAGTGGAGTGGCTTTCTTCTCAGAGCTGTTTCAGAGCAAAGAGAGCTGCTCTTGTATGAAAGGCTCCCCCCTGTACTCAAGTCTTCCGGGAATACAGTGAGTAACACATTTAACGATCAAACCCGCTGCGAACAAAACCCCTTTAAAAGCGTTGGCGGGCTATGGAGTATGAAGGGTGGGCTGAGGAGGCTTCCACGGTTGTGGGGGGAGTTTTGGGGCTTGAAGCTGTGGCTGAGTTGTGCATCTCTGGGGTCAGATCTCTTAGGATGAGGGTCAGACTGTCCACCCAGAAAATCCCTGCCCTCTCTCCCAGGGGATGGAGGCAGTGAGCCGCAGTGGCTGTCTTCAGACGAGCTGGGCCCCTCTACCACTTTGGGCGTGAGCCTTTCTGCTCTCTGCAGACTTGAGAGCCCCAGCCCACTTGTTCAGAATGGGAAGCGTGAGTGGGGGCCTGGCATCTGAGACTCCGTCATTCTGGGTCCTGTATTGTTCTGATCACGGACCGGGGGTTGAGTGTGTACACAGCAGTATCCTTAAATGTCTCCCAGGTGGTAAAGAACCCACCTGCCAATGCAGAGACGTAAGAGATGCGGGTTTGATCCCTGGGTTGGGTAGATCCCCAAGAGAAGTGTGTGGCAACCCACTCCAGTATTCTTGCCTGGAGAATCCCGTAGACAAAGGAGCCTGGCGGGCGATGGTCCATAGGATCGCAGAGAACTGGACACGACTAAAGCACCTGAACACGCACAGTGTATTTCTCTATATCACTGCTTCTCACTCTGGGCTGCGCTCCTGATGGGTCTACGGCAGTGTCAGTATATTCATGGTGTCGGGGGATCTAAGAGAGGGCCACGAAAGAGAGAAGGATGCCTCCCTTTTTGGTACAGTGGAAAGTATTTCTTGCTTACCATGTGTTTTTGTAATATGGAATCCTGAAGGAATAGGTAGTCAAAGGGTTTCTTACTAATTACTTTAATTACTTTGCTAAAGGGAGCTTACTCAACTTTGACATCCTCATCAATTGTTTCCTCTTTTGGAAGACTGTGACAACCCCCCTGAGGCTGGCTATGAGTCTCGGTGAGATCAAAGGTTGACAGAGAATTTTATGAACTCTTTGAACAGAATTACTATTGTTAACCTTGGAGGTGTAACTGAGACAGTTGTTTCTTGACCCTTAGAGAGTTGATTTTCGCCTTTTCAGTTCAGTCTCCTTACCACCACCACCAGCACCCTCCTCAAGATCGTCTTAGTTTTCTATTTTTGTTCCTCCCAGTTTATTTTTGATTATTTTTTAAAGACTCCTATAGTATGAAACTCTACAGCTAAATTTAATTTTGCCTCTTTTATGGAAGCTGACTTTTTTTTTCTTTTCCTTTTAAATAATACTCATTTTAAAGGCCTTCTTGGGAAAACATCCAAGTTTTCACTCAAGGCAATGAATGAGCGTCCCATGGCATTAACTTCTAGTCTGGGATGAAGAAATTTGAAGAAGAATTTTAGCTGAGGCCGTATTCAGATGTGAGGAAATGGAAGCAAAAGAAAAGATAAATATAACTCCATTATAAGAGAGTCACTGATTTAGGATTAAACCCAATGATACTGATAGTGGTTTTTCACACCAAGGATTCAAAGGAACTCATTGCTATTCAAAAGTAAGGTGTGTTTAAAAGGAACGAGATTGCCCTTTTTCACGTGGATCTAGAAGGATCTATAACATGTGGGGTTGACATTGCCCTTTGGCTTGGGAGAGGCAACCTAGTTACAAGGCTTCGAACAACGGACTGACATTCAGCTTCTGCCATCACACTTTGTTGTGTGTGATAAATACAGAAAGATCTTTGATATAGTTCAGAAAACAGATTTGTGGCACCGAATGAGTATGCTTATCTTTAAAAGAAAAACGTACTAAACTCTCAAAAAAGATTGAGTTTATGGAGTGACACAGGGTCTGTAAGGTGCCAGAACTGACTTGTAATGTGGTCTGGAAGGAGGTGGGAAAGCTAGAAGTCCCATCCAGCTTTCTGAAGACATACTGGAGACTGGGCCGGAAGCTGATGTCCTTCTGGTTTCTATAAGATTAATAACAAAGCTTGGGTGTTGTATATGACCAAAAGTCTAACCATGTCTTATTCTCCAGAAGCCTTTATGCCTCAGTAATCTGGGTGTCTCCATAATCTAGCACTTCCTACATGTATTTCCGGCTACTCTGTTCTCCAGCTATAGAGCTGTTACCTTGCGTGGTGGAAAATGAGCTTCCTGTGGACCTCGCAGTGTCTTACCCTTAGTAAGAGCCGTGTAATGTCATGTTTGTGAGGTTGGTTTCAAGGGCCCTGTCTTTGGTAGGGGCCCGGCGGAGGTGTCTCGTTAGGTCAGTTGCGTGAGCTGGGAGAGAGTATGGGAGGGCTAATGGGCAGGAGAGCAGGGTCCTGCTTTGGGAGAGGAGTTTGCGCTCTGGCATCCCAATGCTTGGATGGGTGAGCACTGGGGACTGGAGAACGTAGGCTCCCTGGACTTGAGGAGGTATGCTGGGGCTGGTCCATGCTCGGTAAGGCAGGAAACCCTTAAGAGGGCATTTGCACATGGAGGCAACTGGTCAACTAAATCATGGACTTATTGTCAGAGAGTCCCCTGCAAAATCCCCATCATGGCCCAGCTTGGATGGAGGGTAAGTGGGCAAGCTTGACATTGGCTGGAAACAATGTGTCAACCTCCTGTAAGCAGATTCTAAAGGAAGAAAGGCCAGCATCATTTAACTGTTGTGTTGTTACTGGTGATGATGATAATGATGCTAACAATTAAAGAGATAATTGTTTTCCTTCTTTTAGTCACATAGAAAAAATCACCACATGGCAAGACCCTAGGAAGGCGATGAATCAGCCCCTGAATCACATGAACCTCCACCCAGCTGCCACTTCCACACCAGCGCCCCAGAGGTCCATGGCCGTGTCTCAGCCGAATCTTGGTAAGCTTTGACTCGGAGCTGGATAAACAGACGTGCAAGCAAGGGCCTCTGGAGCTCAGAAGCAGCTCTAGTTGCCTCAGTGCCTACTCATGTACCCAGATAGGATCCTTTCCTCCCTTCTGGCTGTGTGACCCTTTCACTGCCCTTGCCGTCTTTTCTTGGCCTCTTGGCTATGACACTGCTGTCCAACTTGACACTCCAGCTCCAGCATCCTCTCCAGTTACCTTCATTGAAGCTCTTGGAAAAATCACTTAGGGCTCCTGTCTTCTCCCACACCAAGGCAAGTAGGGCTCTTATCCCTTTCTTGTGAATTTGGTCCCTGAAGACTCCCAAAGGGTACAGTTCTGGCCTCAAATCTCTTTGCTTCCTTCCTTTTCTTCTCCCTCATAATGTGTGACTTTCACCAGACCAGGTATTTTCTTGCCTTATCTCATTCAGTCCTCACAACAGCCCAACAAGAAGTGATAGCATTCCCATGTTATATATGCAGAAACGTTCCCAAAGCCCCAGCTTGTGCACTAGTAGAGCCAGAGCTGAAACCGAGGTTGGTCTGGTTTTAGGATGCATTCAACCCTTGCATAATCTGCGAGTGGCTTCTCCCCACACCTCCCCTAGGATAAGATGGTTCACATTTCACTTCATTTTGAATAGGTGTGATTTTAGACTTGAGATTAGTTTCTGCTAATTGCAAAAAAAGTAAAATTCGACCCGCTGTAGAGAATCAGGTGTGAATGAATACACTCCTGCGACAGAACCAGTCAGCTTTTGTTGTTAGTCATTCTCCCATGCCCCTATAAGCTATTTTAAAGTTTTTTAAAAGATAGTGCCAGTTTCAGGTGACGTTTCCATTTAAGATCAGATGTCCAGAGACTGTTTTATATACAGAACAGCATTTTAGAGAATGAAAAGAATCTCTGTTGGATTTTCAAGAATGAACAGATAAAAGTGGAAGCAGTTTTCCTAGACACCCTCCGTTTATAACTGTGGCTTAGCCACGGTGAGTATGGACTCAAGGAGATCTGAGTCAGTATATTCAAGTAAATATATTGTCCCTTCTTTCAGGAAGTCTGGACCTACCATTTTAAAGCTTGCAGATGTGAAATATATACAAAAGGGAAACGACTTGGAACAGCCTCTGTTGTGTTTTGTATCTAAAGGGCAGATCCAGCAAAATGGTGCCACTGCTCGTATGAGCAATGGTAAACCAAAGCTTCCCATGAGTCATTCGTCCCCAGTATATCAGAGCTTAAGCAGAAAGCAGATGTGAGTGTAGCAAAGAAACCACAAATTAGGTAGCATCAGACTGTTTCAGGGTTTCTTTCACCGTTTAATTTTTACTGAAAGTTCTAAAGGCTGATTGTTAAAGTATTATTGCTAACTTTGTAGTCAGTCTTAACTGGAAAAGATCTGTCATGGACCTGGTTAAAAAAATTCAAACCCTTTCCAGAGGGGTGTAAAAAAGTAAGTCTCCCTGTGATCCCCATGCCTCAGTCCTCCGCCTGTTGTCTGGAGTCAACCAGCGTTTCCAGTCTTATGTATGTTTCTTCACATAAATGCTAGCACGTTACATCCACTGTTCTGCACCTTATGTTTCTTCACATAAATGCTAGCATGTTATATCCACTGTTCTGCACCTTGGTTTTTCCACTTCCATATCTGTACACACAAAGCTGTCTTTTTTGTTTGTTTTAAAAATTGCCCAATATAAATATTTAACTGGCCTCCATCTGATGGGTCTCTGTATTTAGTGTGTTGTTCGTGCACCCAATATTGGAGTGAATATCCTTGTTTATGCTCTTTTGTGTACTTCCCTTAATTTTTAAAAATTGCACAAGAGGGAAGAGGACTAGATTAGAAGGACTTTGAATGCTAAAAACTTCATACTGAAAGCACAGGTGAGGTCCCCCCTCACCCCCAACACACTAAAAGCCCAATTGTTGGTAAAGTTTATCTAAAGAAATTGTAATCGGAATGTCTGAAACCAGTTTACCTGTGGCTGAATGAAGTACTTGCCCCCAGATCTCTAATAATTGGGGCAGTGAATTTCTCAAGACACACATTCTGGGATTTTTCCAGTAATGTTTGAGTGTTTGCCCACTACAGAGTGTGTTCCTAGCCTCTTGAGAATCACAGATGTATCCCAAGAATGGAAATATAGTGGGGAATCCAAAGTAAGCTCCAACGACTGGGGATAATTTAGAGTCACAATATGGTCCTAATAATAAATGATTTACTCAGAGTATTTTATTTTAAGCTATAGCTTTGCCTGTAGTTTATACTCTCTATTATCAATCTTTAAAAATAGAACAGATTTTTCTACTTTTTCTTTTAAGATTTAACATGTGGTATTAGTTTGTTTTTATTATTTTGAAAATAATAGGTATACATCTGTCTACACATATCTATTTATATTATTAGTGTATATATGTATATAAACATATATATAAAGTCATTATTTTGAAGATAACTCAAAATTTCTAGGTCTGTTTTATCAACCACATTTTTTTTTTTTTACCTTTTAAGTGGAGAAGATCCTTCTCTTCCTTCTACTTCTTAAATCTCGAATTTTGGTTTTTTCAATGGCATGCCTTTGACAAGTGAACTTAAGTCATAGGTCCCCTTCACCGATGGGTATTTAGCTACATGTGAAAATGATGTCAAAGTGCAATGAACATTATTGTCAGGTATGGAGTGAGTACCTTTACTAGTCTAATTTATGTGTTTCTCGAGCTATGATATGGGCTTCCCTGATGCTCAATGTGGGAGACCCGGGTTTGAGCGATCCCTGGGTCGGGTAGATCCCCTGGAGAAGAGAATGGCAACCCACTCCAGTATTCTTGCCTGGAGAATTCCATGGAGAGAGAAGCCTGGCGGGCCACAGTCTTTGGGATCACAAAGAGTCAGACATGACTGAGCAACCGTAATCAGCGATATAGCAAAATATATTCAGCAATGAGTCTCCTTCTGTTGCGATGCCGTGTTTTCCTGTGGGTCAGAGACATGGCCCTGGGCGTCAGGCTGTCAGGACTGGAGTCTTGACTCTGCCTGTTGGTGACTCTGTTTGGCCTCAGTTTCTCCATATGTAAAATGAGGATTATATTTACAGTGTGAGGAGGTTGTATGAGTTTAAAGCATGTAGATCCATGCCTGGCACATAATGAAATATTATCATCATTGTGTTTTGTGGAAATAAAAGCTTTTATTTTGTTTTATTTAATTATATGTTATATTTGAGGACCATTTCATTGTTCAGGTTAAAAGTTCTCCAAAAAAAAAAAAAAACCAAGAAAGATTTATTTTAGATTGGTTAGTGTGCAAAGAGGTTTAAATTAGGAGCACTCTTTTTTACCTTCGGTGAGGATAGCGCCCCGTGGTGAAAATATTTCAGGTCTCCTCCCGTCCCCGACTGCCTGCCAGCCCAAGAAACCAAGTCAGTATTACAGTATTCCTGCCTGGAGAATCCCATGGACAGAGGAGCCAGGCAGGCTACAGTCCACGGGTCTCAAGAGTCGGACGCGACTTAGCGACTAAACCACTGCCAGCAAGTGAATCTCGCTCAGTCGTGTCCGACTCTTTGTGACCCTGTGGACTATACCGTCCACGGGATTCTCCCGGCCAGAACACTGGAGTGGGTATCCTTTCCCTTCTCCAGGGGATCTTCCCAACCCAGGGATCAAACCCAGGTCTCCTGCACTGCAGGCGGGTTCTTTACCAGCTGAGCTATGAGGGAAGCTTTTGCCAGTGGATATCTCAGTTTCTCAGTGGATATAGTCCTGAAATGTGGGCTGTAAGTCAAGTCATATTTTAATTGCAAGAGAAGACACCTATCCCTGAAAGGCGTCCTGGAATGCGTGACTTTGTGACCATACTTTAGTCAGGATGCAGGTTTGTCGTGTGGTTAACCTTGCTCTCTTATCAAATGCCAAAGTAAAACAAAATAGACTCTCAAGGGGCTATTTCAAATAGCCCTCTCCAGCTCGGTCTAATTTTTAAGGGAAATGTTTGTTTTTGTGTTTACCAAATCAGATTGTCTGTTAGGTTTTGTCCAATTTGCTTCTGTCTGGGCAGATAGACCCCCTTTGAGTCCGAGTTCCCGGAGATACGCAGTGAATGGTAGCAGAGAGGAAGGTCTTGGAGAGCTTCAGATAGTGAGGAGCAGATGGAGATTACCCCCGAGTGGACGCTGGATCACTTGGGGGCTGACAGCTTGTTTGAAATCCTCACTTTTACGTAACACAGTGAAGGAGGAAGATTACTGCCTGTCTGAAAGTTCATTTTTTTTTCCCGTGACACAAACCAGGTAGGATTTCATGTCTTTTCAGTGAGTTCATTGGTATGATTAATTACTATTGATAGCTACTCTGTTTTATTGAAGGAGGGGAAAAATGAAGCAAACAACAACAAAAAAGGACTCCCCGCAGGCCATATCATAATACAGGAAACAACGGGCTTGCGGAAAACGGGAACGTGCTAAGAAAATCTTAGCTTGTTACCGCAGTGGTGGGGGTGGGGTGGAGGGCGGGGATTTTTTAGTATACCGGGTAATGGGAAGACTCACAGTCAGAACTGAGTTTCTCTCTTGGGTTAGACATTTACTACTTTTGCTTATTCTTTAACCTGGGTCTCATTTCCCCTATTTGTGATTTGGTGATAATAATAGACTTTTCCCGATAGAAGTCTTGATTATTTAGGTACTGCGTATTTTGGCACATAGCATAGAAAATGTCCCCCTAAGAGCTGTCTTGTTATCACTATCGTTACGAACTGGCCGCCTGGTCTGTCCTCACTTCTGGCCCCTGTGTAGCTGGAGGAAGAGCCTGTGTGTGTGCGTTAGAAACTCTGATCTTTTAGACCCTTTGCTTCCATGTTGAGAAAATCGTCTTTAAGTCCAGCCAGTGATGGTGGGAAGATGAAGAGACACCTGCTCACGCCCTGGCTCCTTCATGGGCAGAGGGAACTCCTGAAGAGCAGGTTCACCTGGAGCTCTGCCTGAAGAACCT